TTAATAAAAATATATCATTCTTAAATATTTCATTTAATTAATTATTATATTTCTTAATTATCTTGTTTATTTAATTATTACCATTCACTTAATATTATCATTCACTTTCTAGATTCTTAGATCGGTTAACAAAGTTAATACAATTTAATTGGTTAATAAATGATTATGTTATATATAGGGACTCATTCAAGGAAGAACTGATTAGTTTGTGACAACCGTGAGATCCAATATGAATCACTTGTTTGAGATATTTAAATATATTTCTTAAATAAGCTAAAAGGGTAATAAATTATATTTTTTGACAACTAATCAAAATACTTAATTAAATTTTATAGAATGAGATATTTAATTAAAATTAGTTACCTAGTATATCAATTAATTAATATACATCGTATTTAAAAAACGTTTGTGAATCAAAGTGTATAATAGTGATAACATTCACAATGTTTCACGTGTATCATGGGTGAAGTGACTTTGTCCCAATATAAAACAGATCATGGGTTCGATCACAAGCCCTTGCTAGTTTTGGCCAATAAGTAAAGCCAGAAAAATGTCCCCTTATATTAGTGTCTTTGGAGGCAACTTCTATATAGGACCGGTTGGAGTCATCTGTGATCAACTTTTTGTGCAAACAGTAATTAATTTTTCAAATTATTTATTTTAAAATTTGATTTTTTTGGGAAATTAACCACAATAATCAACATCCTCAACTGAATTCACATTTTAACCAAAATTTACATAAATGGTCAGATTAAAAAGAAGAAAAACAAGGACCATTACGTAAATTCTTCACATAGATTACAACAGATTTGCGTGTTTTTTTTTTTAATTTGAAAATAAGCTTTACGTAAATGCATAAAATACTTAGAGTAAATTATATTTTTCGTTCCTATGATTTGTTACAAATTGCAATTTTTGTCCTTCTTGTTTAGATATTATGGTTTTCATCCTTATAGTATGTAAATCTTTGTTATTTTTGTCCTTATATTTTATAGTTTATTGTTGTTTCAGTCCCTGTGGTTTATAATTCCTTACTATTTTGGTCCCTTGTACTTAAAAAAGACAAGAACTAGTTACGAAAATAACAATTTTACTGTTTTGGTTCCTTGTACTTAAAAATGTAAGAAATAGTTACGAAAATAGCAATAAGTTATAAACTATAGGGATGAAAACTGTAATTTCTTAACCATAGGAATGGGAATCAAAATTTTAATAAACTATAGGGATGAAAATGTAATTTACTCAAAGGGTTGGGTTCACGTGAGACCAAGGGTTTTCCGTGAGACCCGTAAGACCAATTTATGTTCATTGATCAACTTTATAAGCTAATGATCTAATGGTATAAAGTTGCACGGTGACAATTTTGTGATTATTGAGAAGTCTCGTGGCGTTTATGAATGTTCAGATCTGACGATTGTAGATCTAATCCAAAGGGGAATTGATTTTACGGGTCTCACGAAAAACACTTGGTATCATATGATCTCAAATCTTTACTCAAATATTTATATAATTTTTTGTCAATATGGGAATTTGACTGAAAAGATACGACTAAAAAGTAAATTTGTGCAAGCAGATTGAAACTATTTTACGAAAGGTAAAAGACGTGAAATAATAATCTATTTTTACAAATTTTTTATAATAACATTGTATTTTCAGTTTTTTTTATCATAGTATTGTACTTTCAAAATTACTTTATTATGACATCATCAATTATAATAAAAAATGTCATGTCGGCATTATCATACATGTGAACAAACTACGTGGACGATGAGGTGACAAAGAAACCTGGTATAATGAGTAAATTTAATTTAAAAGGTTATCCAATGTTATAACGGGTAAATTTTTGAAAGTACAATGCTTTAATAAAAAATATTTTGAAAGTATATTGTTGTAATAAGAAAAACTGAAAGTACAATATCATAATAAGGAAATTTGTAATAATAGGTTGCTATTTCGCGCATTTTGTTTTTTATCAATTTCAATTTTAAAAAGAAGAACTTCAAAGCTTATGGGCTATTGGTTAGGTTGAAGCCCAAGCCCGTTATTATAGCCCAATATATTTATTTAGATTTATTTATTTATTTATTTTTATTTTTAATAATTTTCAATCTCTGTAAAAGCTTCCATTAAAACACACACCAACAGAACACACAGTGGATGGTTTGTTTCTCTCTCCGCCGTGTCAATGGCGATCGAACCTTTACTCCTCAACTCCGCCACCTCCTAACTTAACTATCCGCCACCACAATTCATTAACGCCGCCACAATCTACCGCCGGACCCCCACCGGATTCACATAATCACTTCATAAACCCCCCCTTTTTCTGCAAATCATATTCCCCGCCACAAACCGGTTAACCGACCCCTAAATTTCCTCCACCATCACAGGTACGTCAACGAATACACTCATACTACTATCTGTCCTAAGAAGTCACCTTTAAGTCTCCTAAATTATCACTCGATTTCAATTAATTTCACCAGACGAATCGAGAATTCGAGATCCACCCTGATTTTGCTAATCTAGTTTTTAGTAATTGAATTCTTTTGAATAGTTGATTACTTATAGATTTACGTGTTTATTTTGATCTTATTGTTATGGATTTTGGTTGAGTTCAGTTGACTACAAGTTGTTTAAGCATAGTTCATCCCCTTCCCCCACTTTTTAGGGCAAAATAATCAGATAATTGATATTTAGGAGTTATGCAAAGGCATCGTAATCCTGGAAATGGATATAGGTCTAATCCTATCGGAATCGGTGGTGGTGGCGTAGCTGCTGGTGGCCCTGGTTACCATAACTACAATCGCGGTGGTTTTGGCCGGGGTCAGCCTAAGGTTTTCCAGTCGGCGACAACGCAACCCCCTCCACCTCGGAGGGTTGATGTTTTCATGGAAGCCGGGAAATTAGCAACCGAGTATTTAGTTTCAAAAGGTTTACTACCACCAAATTCGCTTAATGGGAAATGGCAAAATAGTAATTTGAAGAATCAGGTCGGTGGTGGTGATGGTGTTCCTGATGCAGATTCCGGCACTGGTGGTGGTCGGAGAAGGTTTCCTGATGATATCAGTAGTGCAACAGGGTCAAGAGATGGAATTAGGGCTAGGAGAACAATGGGATCTTTTAAAAACCCTGGGTTTGAATGGAATCGTGAATTTAACAACCGGAGTTCTTCGTGGTCTGAAAAGGTTAAACCTTCCACAGATAAACAAAGGGATGGTGATTCCGTTTCTGGATCCGTTGAAGAACAGAGATCTGGGAAAGATGGTGCTAGTGAGGATCAAAAATCGGTTTCTGGTGATTTAGAATCAAGAAATTCTGAAGCAGGTAACATAGAAACAGCCATTGATAACAAACCAAACCAATTAGCCGATGATAATTCGGGTATCAAGACCCCAATTTCAGATGTCGAATCTGCAGAAAAAAGTGATGGTTTGAAGAGCCCAAATACAGAGGATGTGATTATGGATGATGTTAAAAAAGAGTCTGATGAACAGATTGTTAAAGAAGAACCTGGCCAGGAGAATAGCACAGATGAAAATAACAACACTTCTGCAAATAAGATTAGTAGCGATTTGTTAACACTAATCAGGTTTAACAAAGTACCCACCAGAACCCGTTCTTCTGTGACACTCAAAGGCTCGAAAAGCGACTCACTTTTGACTTCTGGAGATGAAAACAAGAACAAAATCCAGAATTCTGGAGAACCCGCGAATTCTTCGCAGGATGTTTCAGTAGCAGATGAAAATCAAGAATCGAACCATGAACTGAAGATAGAAGAAGTCCCATCTGAAGAAGAGGTTGCACAAATTGATCATAACTACAAGTTTGGAGCTCGATCTCAATCTTTTCCTCAAAGATCCTCCATTCCAGATCAAGGATTTGGCGAAGAACAGCAGGGGTATAATAGATGCAGCTCTGTTGTATTGGGTAGGGGTGAAAAACGACCATTGCTTCTCAGTGATAGCTCGGAATCGGCCAAGAAGCCGAGGGATTGGACCTCGGGTGATGGTTACTTGCATCTTTCTAATTCAAGAGGAGACCAAGCATCAGGAATCACTCAACCATGCAATGTTTTTGCAGAAGAGAAGCAGCTTTTTCCGAGTTCTTTCAAGATTTGTGACCTCAATTTAATGGAAGTTTCTGACGTAAATGATAATCATGATACCAGTTCTGTCATTGGTTTTTCTTCAATCCGGCAAGCAAAACAAGAGTCGGTGTCGGTCGATTTTGATTTGACCATGAATAGTAGTTGCGATATAAGCGATAGACAAACTAGGCGCGGACCTGATGGCAAAGGCGTTGAAGTCATTGATTTGGATTGTGATTCGGGGCAAGACGACAAGGGTTTCAGTAACTCAGAACGGAGGTAAGTTCATTTATTATGTTTTTCTTTGAAAAGAAGTCTAATTTACTTTCTTAGGAGTTCATTTATTATCTACTGACCGCCTCTGACTCAATCAGTGCTACAGCGCTAACTCAGACACTTTTGTAGACAACCATTTTTATCAATTTCAGTTTGCACTTGCCCAGACCAAACGTTTTACCTGACCACATTTTTACTATTTAGCATTTACCCAATTTGTGTTGGTAAACGGTCCATTAATGTGTTACCCTTGTTAACTTTCTGAACACTCGTATGTTAAGTGGCATTGTATTAGCTCCGTTTTAACCTAATATAAGATGATTATTTCTTTAAACCCTGAATTTTGATCTTTTTGATCATATAGGGAGGAAGCCATATTTACAGATCTTGAGAGCTTTCCGGATAGCATGCAGAGGGTTAGCGACATGCCCCAAGATGGTTATGGGCTTATGATATCGGAGTTACTGGAGGCCGACATTCCTAACTCTACTGTATCAACTGGTGTTAATTCTATGCATAATGAAATGAGCCTTCAGAATGAAGAGGTATCTCGTTATTTATTTGCTAGAATCTTGTTTGATGTTCAAGCTTAATTCCGTGTTCTCAAATATGGGAAGAAAAAAGAAAAGAACAGAAAAGGTGGGGAATGGAACGATGCTTTTTCTTTGTGTTCTTGAAAGGGAAGTGAAGGAATGGAGAGGGAACAATTTTTCATGTTCTTGAACGAGAGAAAGGAAAGGAAAGATGTCATTTTTATAGATATACCCTTAAAATTTGTTTGTCGTCACGTTGTTTTATGGGGGTATTTTTGACATAAAATATCACAAACCCTTTCAGATTTTCTATCCCGCTTGTCCTCCTTACGTTTGAGAGAGTTTTTGGGAGGAACGTGGTTTTTTTGTTTTCCCTCCTTTCCTTTCTTTTCATTCAAGAAAAAGGTTTCGAGAACAAGGTGTAAAAATTCATCAGTTTTCTTCATTTACATGAATATACATTGATGTATTTTGTTTATTTCGGTATAGATAATTGGTTTAGTAACTCGTTAGGATGGTCTCAAGTTTCTTTCTTTAAAGATTTGCTCCAAATAGTTCCCGGATAACATTTAATTTGATACCTGTTATGTTGACTGCAAAATAACTTCTTTAATGGTTATCGCAGGGGATTCTTGGCGACGATGAGTCAATTTATATGTCACTCGGAGAAATACCGATAAGTATGCCAAAATCTTCAATTTATTGGCAAATATTGTTTATTTATTACTTCAAAAGCTATTGCTATGTGTTTTTTGGGAAATTGATAAAAATAGCCAATCCACCCCGACTCTTTTCACTTTATAGCCATGTAAGGACCCAATTTCACTAAGTAGCCTATCCTTACGTAGAAAGCTTATGCATATGCTTAATGATTGGTTTTCGGCCAAAAAGAAAATAAAGATAAGAATCCTTATACAGAAATTGGAATCTTTACACAGAAAGTGGTTTTTCGCCTAACGATTCCACTTTCTGCGTAGGATTTTTATATCTTTTTTTGCCGAAAACCAATCCTTACGCATATGCGTAAGCCTTCTTCCTAAGGATCGGCTATAAAGTGAATTTGAGTTTGAAAATGGCTAAAAAGTGAAACCACCTATCAAATTTGGCTATTTATGTAAATTTCCCTTTTTTTTCAGTTCTATTAATTACTTTTATATTTTGTTTTATTTATTACTCGTTCAGTTGATCTATAGTCTTGGTATAAGTGTTAGGGCCTATTTGTTAGCAGCTTAATGAGACTCGCGGCTTATTCGGTCTGCTATACATTACTGTTTGGTAGTGGCTTAATGAGATTGAAATTGGCTTATTTAGTAAGCTTCTAGAAGGGAGCTTTATACAAAAAGCCAAGTTTTTTCCTAACCTTCTCATCCCAATTAAAAAAATATGATTCTTTCATCTATTAAAAAACCCTCCCAAACAAAAACGTTCCCAATTTATACAGACAGATTAATCCACACACACAACTATATCCATACACTACTTAACGGAAAACCTACCAAACAGCTCCTTAACTGGGCTCCAAAAAGATTGGAACGACCCTAGTCAGTAGCGTATAATTGAATGAACGTCCGTATCTGTAGGTATAATGGAATGAACGTTTTTATGTTTTGTTTTGTTTATTACTCATACAGTTGATCTACAGTCTTGGTATAAGTCTTAACAGGGTCTCCAAAAAGATTGGAACAACCCTAGTCAGTAGCATATAATTGAATGAACGTCTTTATCTATATGTACAAGTGAACGTATAATTGAATGAACGTCTGCATATTTTGTTTTTTTTATTACTCGTCCAGTTGATCTATATTCTTGGTATAACTGTTAAACAGGGTCTCCAAAAAGATTGGAATGACCCTAGTCAGTAGCGTATAATTGAATGAATGTCTGTATCTATATGTTTACTTATAGACTGGTTGGTGTGTGGCAGGTTTTGTGCCAGTTTGGGATCAGCAGCCATCACAGGGGTATGATAAACGCTACTAGGATGATGGATATGGCGGACGTCCTCCCGCAAGATATGGGTGTGTAATATGGTATGTAACAAATAATGCCATTATAATTGGTTTGCTTCAATCTTGAGATTATTATATGGTGTAGGATAGTTCTAAATACACGACATTGCTCGTAATCCTGATTCGTCATACGAGATGAATGCCTAATTTGTTCATGTTTTCGGGTTCTTACCATGTGTTTGAATGAAAGTATATGTTGTCGATTCTTTTAATGATATCCGTGATTCTGTCTAAATATCCAATCGGCCTGTTGATAGGAAGGTCTTGTTAAGGATGACGACCCGAGACCCGTATTGGTTTAAACCCAACTGCATCCAACCCATCTAATTAGGTTTGCTTGTGGTGTTGTTTGATACGCCGATATGACCGGACGGACCAAAGTGAGGTAGGCGGGGTAAAAGAGTCTTACGGTCTGTTTGTTAGCAGCTTAACGGGACTCGCAACTTTTATTCGGTTAAGTTATACATGACTGTTTGGTAGTGGCGTAATGATATAGAAACTGGCTTATTGAGTAAGCTTCTATGGGGGCTTTATATAAAAAACAAGTTCTTTCCAAACCCGTCCATCCGTATTAAAGAACACGTTTCTCCCATCGTTGTAAAAACCCCCCTAAACAAAAACCTTCAAATCTGTAAGACAACTTTATCCTTAATGGAGAACTAACCAAACATGCCCTTATAATGTTTTAGGGTTTTAGTTTGACATGAGTAGTTTAGTATTTTGGATCACGTGTGGCTTTCCAAGTTTGTTTTTAAGTCAACAAAAAAGGACCCGGTCTTTTTCAGCACGGGTCCAATCTTTTGGGTTGAGAAAGGGCCCAATCGGGCTTTTTCCGGTTGGCTTTTCTAGTCCTTTTTGAGCCGGACCTGTACCCAAAATTTCATCTTGAGCCAAGTTTCGAGGTTAGATTTTTTTTGTGCATCTCTACTTTAGTATTTTGTTGATCTTGTCTTTTTATCTCTTTGGTTTTAGTTCACCTATTTTGGATGATCTGTTTTTTGTTCTGTACGATTTAAGGATTGATTATTATAAAGAGTAAACTGCGTTTTTTAGTTCATCTGGTTTGTTATTTTCGGTCACGTGCTTTCGGAATTATGGTTTTTGTCCTTGAGGTTTACAATTTATTATTGTTTTAGTCCCCGTGGTTAAAAATTCAACGTTGTTTTACTCCCTCATTAATGAAGTTAGTCTGAGAGATAAAAACAATGATAAATTATAAACTACAGAGATGAAAAACATAAATTTGAAAGCATAAGGACGAAATTTGCAATTTTTAACAAATGGTAGGGATGAAAAGCATATTTCTAGGCCTTGTTTGTTTTAAAAAAAAAAAGAAAAGAAACAAAGCCTTTTATATTTGATTTGTTAAGAGTAGGGTCATTCAGACTGTTTGTGTTTTCTAATTTTTTAGAGACATTTATGTCTTATTTTTTTCTTATCTGGTAAGTAGTAAACAAACCTCTTATCTGTCTCTTATTCTTCTCCAATGTCGTTTCTCAATCGATTAACCTTAATCGATCATTTCTTTCAATCGATCCTTACCAAATCGATCATCACTTGTCTTAATTGATGTATTTTAATAAGATTTAAATGTGTTAAATACCGTTAATGACATATTTTTGTTTAAATGATGTTAATTATATAATTTAGATGTAAATTTCGTAATGATGATAAATAAATATGTAAAATTGTATAAATTTGTCTATAAATTCAACACCATAATTTTCTAATGGGTAAAATTTACAATTTAAACAAATTCATACATTTACCATTTCTTTTAAAAAACAAACAGTCTTATTGATTTAGATTTCAGCATCATTTCATATTAAGCAGAAGTGAAATAAAACTTCAGACTTTAGCATGTTTTAGAAACAGACACCATCTTGATGTTTTTTAATGATTAGAAATGAGAATAAGACGATCTTGTCGAAGACATAGAAGATTAATTTTTGGTTTATTTCTTTTTTTAAATTATTAAGCGGTAAAAACTGAAAATGAATATTAAAATGTTAAAATTTATTAATACGTTATTTTTCTTAAGTTTTTAAAATTTTACCTCTTAGATATCAAAATAAAATTTTAAAAAAAAAACATTATCTAAAATAAAAATCATGTTAAAAATACATTATTGTTTTATATAATTTGTAATTTCTAAAACAATATATTATTTTTATGGTAAACATTTATTAGAGGATTGAGAGAGAGCATGTGGAGCACACGTGTACACACATATTTTGACCAGTGAATTATTTAGGGAAAGGAAAACCGAAGAACACGGTGGAGGCAAGCAACGTGGCCAACCCATGTGACGTCACCAGACCAATCCTTTTGGTGGACCCCACCCCCACATTTTTATTTTTTTTAATTATTATTGAAATAAAATCGTCACATCCCTTTCCTCGCTTTAGCTCCTGCTTCCGACTACGGTTACTAGCTTCTCTTTTCCCCCTTTCTTCCCTTTATTTCTATTTTTTTTATAACATATTTTTAAAACTTTTATTTTGGTACCTAAGATGTAAAGTTTTAAACATTTAAATATTTAAGTAATCGATTAAAACATTAATTTTTGTAAACATAAATAAATTACACCAAAAAATCAATCATATTTTTTTTTGTCAATTTGACATCCATGTCGATATATTTTTTCAACCAATTTTTTTTGGTTTTTCAGTTTTCTATTTTTTAAGTTTTTCCCTTGAACATGATCTTATATATATATAAAACACGTTTCAAACACAACTTATCCTATTTATATAACTGATGCAATCTTGATCTAAACCGTCTATTATATTTTATTTTTTCAAAATTTTAATTGATAATTTGTTGATCGTAGATGAAATAATTGATGGTTACGATGAGGTTGAATATATCTATACTATCTTATAAAGCATCTGGCTAAAACTCTTAAACTCGTTCATCCCTATCCGATTTTATTCCATATCTGAATTCGTGTAACTAGCTGCAGATAAACACAATCAAATACAATATAAACATCTCATTTTAAATATAAAAAATATAAAATATAATTAGAATAATCATTGAGTTTTAACATAATACTTAATTATTATCTTTATAAAATGTTATATTATCAAACCAAAAATAAATTATTTCATTATTAAACTTAAATTAAATTATATAAAAAAATCTATACTATATTATAAAACATTTGACAAAAACTCTTAAAAACTAATTTTTATGCRTAAAGTACTGTTTATTAATGCATATTACTTAAAACTCAAGATTACAAATAGATTGTGCGTAAGTACAACTTATTAAAGCTCCATATATGAATTCGTGTAACTAATTGCAGATAAACATCTTATTTTAAATATAAAAAATCTAAAATATAATTAGAATAATCATTGAGTTCTAACAGAATACTTAATTATTATATTTATAAAATGTTATATTATTAAACCAAAAATAAATTATTTCATTATTAAACTTAGATTAAATTATAATGAAAAAACAAATTAAAGGAATTACATAAAAAATGTAAAGTTTTAAATAGTTGATTTGACATTAACATTGATATATATATTTTAAAAAAATTATGATATCTTCAAATTTATATTTTATTCAATAAAATCATTATTGTTTTTTTTAAAAACACATAATATATACTATCTATATTATATCATAAAACATTTGACAAAAACTTAATAAAAAATTAAATTAAAAAATTACACAAAAAATGAGGAATTTTAAATAGTTAATTTGATACGAATATCGATATATTTTTGTTATACATAAAGTACTGTATATTGATGGATATTACTTAAAATTCAAGATTACAAGTAATTATGCATAAGTACAACTTATTAAAGCTCGATGTTTGAATTCGTTTAAATAACTGTGGATAAACATAATCAAATAGAAGATGAACATCTCATTTTAAAATATAAAAAATTTAAAATATAATTAGAATAATTATGGAGTTTCGTTTTAATTACACAAAAAAAATGAGGAATTTCAAATAGTTAATTTGATACTAATATCGATATATTTTTGTCAAATTTTTATGATATCTTCAAATATATATTTTATTCAAAAATAAAAACATTATCGTTTTCTCAAAATCACATAAAGCCATATTATAACATCGACTGAGATAAAAAATAAAATGAAATATTAAAATCATGATGTATCTCGCTGCATTGCACGAATACGCTTCTAGTATATATATAGGGGCACGTTCAAATGAAAACCGTGCATTTCTAAGAAATCGTGTAAACCAATTTCGACCAATAGGAAAATTCTATTTTTTTCTAATTAAAATTAATCAATAAGGGTATTTCAGTTATTTACAATATTTTCTATTAAATATGGAAATTATTAATAAAATCTTAATTAAGAAAACGAATAAATGAAATTGTATAAATGGTAACATTTAAAGATTTAATTATATTATAATATTAAAATTTTGAATTTCATATATTGTAATCTTTAAGAATCAGCAAACGACTTTTGATGAAACAATTGAAGTGTATAATAAAAGCATCAAATCATAGATGAACAAAAAAAAATCCAGAAATAAAACAGGTTTCATGAGCGTGAAACTGGTTCATGTTGCAAATAAATTATGTGAACCGAAACATTTTCATGGTGAACCCGTTGTATTGATTGTGTAGTTGATCCATTTAGTTGGTGAAGAGGAAAATAAAACCGGTGCATTTTGTATTTGATGCGTCATGAACTAAGTGCATGATGAAACGAGGAAATGATTTTAATCTGCTACAAAATTTTGAAGATTGTAACATGCTCCAGAATCTTGAAGATTGTAAGACTTAAAGGAATGAATCTATCAAATCAGTGGTGAAATAAGAAAATTACTGTACATGAAATAGGTTTCATGAAAGTGAAACTGGTTCATGGCGTTCTTGAGCATGACTAGTGAAACGGTTGCATAATGTATTTGGTTCGTCATGAAATAATTGAATGATGAAACGAGTACATGAAGAAACTGCTCCAGAATCTTGAAAATTGTAATATGCTTTAGAATCTTTAAGATTGCAAGGCTTAAAAGAATTAATGCATCAAACCAGGAACGAAAGAAATAAAATAATTTTGCATGAAAAAAGATTCATGAAAGATCGAGTAGGATGTTACCAAATATTAAATTTTGTTTACTAATTTATTCCTTTACTGTTGAAATAAAATAAAATTTTAATATAAATATATATATTTTTAATTTCCTAAAATAAAGTAAAACAAATTTTGGCCATTGATCAAGAA